GCCTTCTCCGGATTCCATTCATTCCAATTTTCTTTCTTTCCACCTCTCCCCCCCCCTCCCACACACCTCTTCACCTTCCTGTTTGTCTTCTGCTCCCCAGCTTCACCAGAATCCTTTTGTTTAAAACTCATAGCCTCCGAGTTCCCTCTAGGTTTTAATAACTAGTTTGCTGGTCTAATTGGTTCTCTTTTCCCCCTATCGAGAGTGAAAGCTAGCCTACATCTTAAACATTGACGTTGTGTGTATATTTCTGTTTGGTGTGAGTGTTTTGAGGTATCGTCGGCTGAAAATCGGTAGCCGCGACAAAACAACAACACGTTCTCGGATTAAAATGAATTCTGTCAACAGGCGCCGCTGTCCCTCTCCCAGAGCGTGGCGCAGCGCCTGTGCGGTCTCACCTCCCCTGGCGTCCGCTGCGTCGCCGCCGTTGCCGTTGGCCTCCGGGCGGGCCGGTCCCTGGGCCGCCTGGCCCACCTCTGCGAAGGCTGCATCCTGCAACAGGCCGAGACAAAAGGGCGGTGGGTGAGTGTTTGAGAGCATAGAGCGAGGAGGCGGGGGAAGCACTATCGCAGCCGGCCGGACGTGCGGAAGAACAAGAGGTAAAACTTTGACAACGCAAACAGCATAGTACAGTACAGCGGAGCGCGCCTCGCCGCGGCTCTCACGGGCAAACAGTGCTGGGCGGGGCGGGGCGGGGCGGGCGAGGCGGGGCGGGCGAGACGCGCGTGGCAGCCGGAGCGAGCGGCACGGGATCAGTGCTCCCGGCCCCTTGAGGGCCCGAGCCCCCGGCATCATTACCGACATCCGACGAATCGCAGAAACATCACGGCTGACTTAACTCGGAGCGGCGAGGGGATACACTAAGGCAGGGGGGGGGGGGTGCAGCCGCACTACGCCGTGGCGCTGCTGCCGGCGGCCGGAGATATTTATTGTTTGCCGTATGGACTAACAAAAGGGAGGGATGATAATCCGAGGAAGAAGGGAGAGGTTGTCGGATGGAGAGAGAGAGAGAGAAAGAGATAGAGAGAGAGAGGAGCCGTCGTGCCCAGCTTAGGCCCCCGCCCTGGCCGGTGATGAACGAGAGAGCCGCGTGTCCGAGAGCTCTCTGCTCTCTGAGCTAGACGCTCCGTTACAGTCGCGTTTAATTACAACAACAACAACAGCAACAACGACGACGACGACGTTCGTGGAGGGGCTCAGATTTCTCCATTAGCGGGCAGTGGCGGACGGGCGGAACAAAAACAGAGAGCGGCCGGCGCCGCCACCCCATCCATCGGGCGTCCATGCGCCTGCCGCCACCGCGGCCGGGGAGCCTCGCGGGGAGCCCCCTCCCTCGGGAGCGCCTGCGGACCGGCGGGTAGGCAGCCGGCGCGCGGGAGTGCGGCGCGGGCCGGGGCGCTGCCTACCCGCCGGGCGCTCGAGGCCGCCGCGCCGGCCGGACAGGGGGGGCTAACTAGGAGGAGGAAGGAGGACGACGACGACGCGAATCTGAAAAATAAGTCATGAAATATTCAGCAGCCGAGGAGGAGGACGCGCGGTGGACATGTGGAGGCGCTGAGGGGTCGGTGCGGGCGTAACAATGTGTGAGGCGTGTTGTTGGTCTGGCGCCTTCCTGATGGCTAATTCGACGTGCAGCGTACAGAAATAACGAGGCAGAGCGCCGCCATGGAATCAGAAATCGCTTTGCGGCAGACGGAGGTTCGCGCTGGGCGGCTCGAGCTGGGCGCACGGGCGCGGCGGTGCCACACACACAGCCACGGTACATACACAGCGGCGTGCATTCGTTATCCCGGTCCCGGAGCAGCCAGACGCACTACCGGAGGAAAGAAAAGTGGGCAGGAGGAGAGGGAGAGGGGGGGGGGGGGGGGAGAGTGCATGCGGCAAGTCTGGGCGACGCGCTCTCTTATTCATGCGCCATGCAGGCGGCGCACTCGGCCGGCGCACTCACACACGGCACACTCGGGCGCGCTCGGGGAACCGGGGGGGAACAAACAACAAACAAACCGGAAACACAATGTCGGGGAGGCTGTGAAAGAGGTAAGCCGAACAGACCTAAAGTAAACAAAGAACAACAGAAAAAATCGACAACAAAACCACCATTATTGTAAGGTACATAACAGTGTACCACAAATTCCCTTGCATCATGCGATAACAGGGGGTCGCCTCACCCCGCCGGCACCCCCTCCCTACTCCCCTGCCGCACATAGTCGGGGCGCTACTGTTTTACATAAGCAGTCCGTGTACGTAAACGCTTTAGCCGATTGCCCGAGGGCTGCCCAACTGGATACAATCGTGTCCCGAATATAGTGGATTACCTTATTGGATTTCCACAGTACACTGTGAAAAAACAACAACGTAGGTTTCTCACCAAAACGTTTAACAGAGACGATGAAAAGTCAAACACTATCAGACGCAAGGGACCAATAACTCCCTTTTGATACATGATTCCCGAAATATTTGATTCCCAGTGATTCCTGTCCGCTTACACTTATTCCTTATTAGGGTTTCTATTGGTATAAAACGCTTATTACGACTATTTTGTACCTGTTCCATTAGTTTCCCGCTTATTTTAATCGATTTCTGATGATTTCGATCAATTTTTATCCAGATGTTTCCCGTCAGGTGTACACATGATTCCCGGAATTCTTGCCCCTTCGATCAGACGTAACAAGTCAGACACTGTCGGCTGTGCTTCCTTCGACGAGGAAATCGTAAATGTCGTAATTCAAAATTGCAATTTTTTAAAAAATGTTCACAGTGTATTCCCGCAGAATGTTTTTTTTTGCGAAGGCCGGGTAAACTGGCTCACCGCGTGGTGGGCGGGAAACTTTGGACAACTGCCAAAGATCTCCCACTTAAATAATGACAAGACGCCAAGAACTAGACCGAATAAGAAAACACTCGATGTCCATAAATTTACCCATAATTGTCGGTAATCTACGGCCATAGCAAGACTATCGGCTTAATCTAATATTGGATTCCAATATTTATTTTAATGTTACAATGTTAGTTGAGGAATGGGGGTCGCCGGGGCTTTGGAGACAATATGGACTTGGACGCAGAAGCCTGCGAAAGGGGTGGGCCAACGCTTCGCGCTTCGCGTCGCCTCCGCCTCGGCGCGTCCCCCGGGGCGCCAGGGCGGTGGGGCCGCCAGCCCGGGGCTTTAATGGGATTGCCGGTGTACTTCGCCGGATCAAGTGGAATGATCCAAGTCGGCCACCCATAGCGTCTCCCCTCCCCGAGGACATGCGGGGGCGCCCGCCTGCGTCACGAATGGGGTTCTGGGTTTGTGGTTCTAGTTCTATAGGTCCTTCCGGACACTTCCTCAGCTTCCTGAGACCAGGGATAGGGCGGCGGGGGAGGCGGGGACGGGCGAGGGGGCGACAGCGCGGCGCGCCCGGCTCGCTAGGACAATGGCCAGGGTCGGGTGGCGCGCGGTGATGCCTGAGGTACCCGCCAGAGCACCGCGCCACTCCGACAACATTGTCGTGGGGCACGCAAAGAGAGATGAGGGAGGGGGTGGGGGTGCCCTGGAGCAGCGGGCGCCAGCAGGAGCAACAAACTGAGGCTGGCCGCGCTGTCGCCACCTCGTCCGCATCCCGCGGGGCGATCCGTCTGTCGACGCGCCTTCCCCCGCTCCGCCCCGCCCCGCAGCTCAGCCAGCCCCGCCTCGCAGTGCCACAGTGGGGCGGTGGGGCGGCGCCGGGGGGAGTGGTACTCGCGCCGCGCCGCGCCACGCCACGCATCAGCATGTATTTATAGTTTGGCGCGAGTTGTGTGCGGGGTATAGGGGGGGGGTGAGGGTGGTCTCTTATTGGACCCCCCGCAGAGGGAGGACCTTCCTTGTGAAGGCGCAGAGGCCCCCACTAAGGGATGCCCGTCATCAGGCGTGTCCCCGGGGCACACCCGGCCCGGGCCTCTGGGCCCTCTGCGCCGGGCTCGGCGACATCTTAGCGCGTCAAGCGGCTCATCCGAGCGGTGGGCCCCGCGGCCCCGGCGAGGGCCCCGCCCGGGCCGTCCCTGGTGGGCCCCCAACCCCTTCCCCCCACCTCTCCTCCCTCTTATTTTACTCAGACTATCAATCATGACGGCTCACTCCCCCCCTTTCCTGTCCGCTTACACTTATTCCTCAGGTTTTCTATTGGTATAAAACGCTAATTACGACTATTTTGTACCAGTTCCATTAGTTTCCCGCTTAGTTTAATCGATTTCTGTTGATTTCGATCAATTTTTATCCAGATGTTTCCCGTCAGGTTTACACATGATTCCCGGAATTCTTGCCCCCTCGATCAGATGTAACAAGTCAGACACTGTCGGCTGTGCTTCCTTCGACGAGAAAGAATGAGGCGTC